CCTTGTGGGCAGGTTAAGGGTTAAATTTATGAAAAAAATATACCAAATGAAAGGTAATGATATTATGCATCTATATAAAAAAGAATTATATTGATATGTTCATTTTTGAAAAAGTTATGGCACTTTTAAGTCCAAAAAATTGAAAAAATGTTGAAAATTAGCGATTTTTAAATTTGTAATTTTTTTGGAGGTTTCCCCCATTTACGGGGAACTAGGGAATTTTTTTCAATTTTTAAGGGTAATGTCTTCGACTAGATACGATTTGTGATCTTTTGACGTATCATTGAAAGAAATCGGTTCGGTGAGAGCTGAGAAAAAGTGGTAACAGACACAAAAAAAAAAAAAAACACATCTTAGTAAAACCAATACCTTCTCAGCTTCGCATCGAAGCTAAAAGTATTATACTTTTCTTGTTTTAGTCAGTAATTATTGAAAAATAATATCAAAAGTTAACAAATTAAAAGAACATCTTATAATAAAAAATATTTACGTATTTTTTTTAAATAATCATGGCATCACAGGTCATTAGTTTTAAATATTTAATTTCAAAATAATATTATTTAATTGTTACTAACGATGTATCTGAACGTGTGATAGAATTTGAACGATCACGATGTCCACTAGTATTAGGTAAAAGTTGTACATTACAAGCAGCTATTTCATCAAGTGGGGATACTGAACCTAACTCATCATCTGAAGACTCATCGGTGGTTTTTTTAATTTTCTGTATGGGTGTTCTTTCGCTTACACTTTCTTCAACTAATGTGGTACCTACTGTATTCAAAGCACTTTGACCAACAGGATCATTACCTCCTAATGGTAATCTTCGAACACCCCAGTTAAAATTATCTGTACTTTCACCCTGAAAAATACAAGAATTCACATTTACATTAATTTTTCTAACGAATCAGGCATACATTAATCGTATTATAGATAAAACCAGGAGATAATACACATTTTATCTTATTATGCCAATTGATTTGTTGAAAAAATAATGTTGTAATAATACTTACTTCAACACTTTCACTTTCATATTCCAGGAAATCAAAATCTTTGAATACAGTACCGAAATGATCAGCGTTATCTTCACGTTCTTTTCTAGAATCACTGGGTATAGATATATCAGGAGCTGAAACTTCTTCAGTACTACTCGCCATGCTTGAATGCCTCTCTAATAATTCAGAGCTTTGACTGAATATTACCTTAAAATGCAAATATCTTTTTACTTAAGTTATTTAAATTTTGATAATCAAAAAAAGAATTTATTTAAGTACAATGTGAAACATAATCACAAGGCAATAAGCAGCTGGTGAACACAGTTTGAAATAATAATTATTATAATAATAATTATTTAATAGCAAAAAAGTAAGTGCTTAACCATTTGCAAAGGCTTAAGAGAAAATATCTCATATTTATCACACCCTTAGTAAAGTTGTATGTACAAATTAGATATTTTGTGTTTAAATATAGCTTTAATAATAAAAAATATGGACTATGTTTATTAAGTCAGTGAGTTGCTAATTTTTTGTATTTTCCAACACAATTAGTTTTTGAGAATTTACCTTATTCAGTGTGTTTAAATCTTCCTATTTTTCATAAGAACATAAGAAATTAGAAATATTAATAAAAACATGCAAATTATTTTTAAATAAACTATTTCGAGTATAACTAACCGATGGGCTTTTAGGTAGTCCTACTCGCTGACCGCATGTCATCAACAGACTGACTAAAAGTTCTCGAACTCGACTCTAAAAAAAATTACATAATATTAATACAACGCAATACTAAAGTACATTAAAAATACCTGACATAACCAAGGTCTCTTCCAACCAGTGACTGTAGAATCAGATGGCGATAGAGATGTAGAACGTCTTTGTACAAGATTAGTGTTAATTGATTCCGAGTCTGTGGAACCATTTTGTACTTTACGACCGATCAGTGGCGTTTGAGACATGTCAAATGTGAAATCCATAGTTCTTCCTAAAATAAAGAAATACTTTTATCGATAGAACAGTCGAATTAAATGATATAATAAATAAAATCAATAAATTAAACCGTCAATATTACCTGGCAATTCCTTCTTCATAAATACATCAATATCGGCAAATGAATAATGAGAAGCTGTGGCACGAGAATCCCAGTATATGTAATGAGTAGACGTCGGTGGTGCGACCAAAGATGAAGATCGGGTCACTACTAATTTTAATATTTTTAAAGCTTCTTTGTAATTGACTCCCTAAAAATACCGTGAAACATGTGACTTGAGAATAAAAGTAGAAGTTTTTATTGGATAAAAGTATAAGTAACTAGTGTACCTCAATGTATTTAGCAATTACTCTTAAAAGGTCGGCGTTAAAAGGCTGCGAAGAAGTTGATGACAAGTCAACATAGTGAAGCATACAATGGATGATGCTCAACACCGGTAACTGAATAATATAAGGTCCTCGTTCTAGAACCTGTGTTAATTTGAACATTAAGTCGATATTAAATTTACGTTAATAATTATTTAAAAAAATAATAACAACAAATTGTATGGAGTGAAAATGTTAATTAATTAGTTTGTTGAAAGTGAAAAAAAAATTATAAAAGTAAATAAAAAACAAACGCATTGCTCCTAACAGTGTTAGGAGCAATGAATAGGCAACCTAATTGACACGAGACTACGCAAAACGGCATAGCTAGAGAGTTGGCCAAAAAATAAATTATACGATACCAGGAATTCAGAAGGAACAGCGTACATTATGAGCGACCATTGTAGACGACTGCGACTGTAAAATTAAATGATAACATCAAAACAAACAGTAAGAAAGTTGAAAAATGGTATCAGGAATTCAGAAGAAGTGTGTTATTTTTCTAACAATTGTTGGTAAAGACAGTTCGGACAGCGACATGCTGTCTCGCCAGAATACAATTTAAACACAGCGTGATGATGTACAAAGCGGTTTCATTAAAATTTTTTTTATTAATATTGACATTTATAATGTCTATGGATGGAGCATTATCAAAATAATTGTGTCGTACAATATAAATGACATCTGCACCAAATATCTCATTAATTAGACGTGACTATTGGCGATAGATCGTATTATTTTTTTAAACAATATATTGTATATTTAGTAGTAGTATATTTTATCTATAACTATGCCAATTTTTCCACTGACAACTGAAATTTGTATTTATCTATTTTTTGGACGTAGCTAATGATGGCCTCCTGTCCAAAAAGAATAATAGGAATTTAGAAGGCATACTTTGTACAAAAGTCGCGATATTACAACTCCAATATCCGTTTCAGAACAAACGTTGAATTAAGCTAGATGAAGAGGAATGCTAAACTGTCTTTCAACATTTTATTAAAAATAAAATAGCAATTCATTTTAAATTGTTATAAAGCTATTTTAACTTTTGCATTCCTCATAATATTATAGTTACGCGTTTGAGTAATTAAAAAAAATCTTACTTCGACCAAAAAAGCAAGCATGTTGTGACTTAAATGAGAATAAGCGTCGTACAAATATTTGACAACACATTTAGTCCATTGAAAGCTTTCTTTGCTAAATGTGCGCCTGCTGTATAAAGTCATGACGGTCGCTAAATTTTCCAATTTCATACTTTTGTTGGTGCACAGCTATAAAGTTATTTTTAATAATTAACACTAGCGTTACTTGCTGTATAAAATAATTTATTATAATACAATATAAAATTAATCAATTCGGAAATGTAAACTCACCTGGGCTATGTTTTCTGCACTCATTATACATAATTCATTGGCGTCTTCGTAGTGCAGTAACATGTAAGGTAACAAGGCGACGACGTTCATGGGGAATGCCAGACTTTCGGACGGATCGACAACTAGCAAGTCGAGAAGAGGAGTAAGCTGCGACAGAAGAGGAACCACATGTTCGTATGTCACAGGGTTTGTGCAGCCTTTTAGTAACAAGGCGTGGACACCGGGAAACGTAGGTGTCCGCAGTTGAATGGCTAATTTGTCAACTTTATCTCGTGTGTCAGGACGGTCAAGTGGAAGACGTCTTAACACGCGGGACAGAAGTCGACAAGCCAGTAGAAACTCGTGCTCGTAATCAGACTCTAACAGGGAAACGGCTAGCCAGAACAACTGTCCGAGAACGGTAAGTTTGTCGTCTTGAGTGGCGGAGTCGCCAAGCAGCTTAAGGTTATGTTGAGTGGCGCTGCAATTTATTTTGCGTCCGTCATCTTTAGTATCTAACGGCATCTGTGAAAACGGAGCTGCTTTGCGAGAATAATGTGACACCGAGTAACTGGTACTTCGGAAATGCGACGCCTGGTTAAAACACGATGGCGGCACCCGGCGATTAATTGGCGCTCTTTGTGCCACAGATCGCTTACCTTCGACGATTGGAATTATATCTTTGTTGTTTAGATTAGGCGTTGATTTGAATATATCTCTGGTTAAGTCCAAAGGTCTAAAATCGGTTTCCAAAGAATCGACAGCCGCTTCCAATGTTAACAATAGTTCAGTCACATAACCCTATGATTAATTTATTTATTATACAAAAAAATAAACATTAATCAAAAATTTTAAAAAAATTCATTTTTCTTCGATCTACTAACTTGCATATCTTCTCCTTGTTCAGCAACAGTCTCAATTAATCTGGAAAGAATTTCTGACAATATCCTAGAAGTAATAGGAACTCGAAGGGCTCTAAAAATCTGTTTAAAATAAAATAAAATGTATAATATTATTAACAAATATATATATTTTAAATATATACATTTACTATATATATGCGCGCGTGTGTGTAAAAATAGACTAATAGCATAAAAGTAACAAGAAAAATGATTTTTGTTTAAGAGTACTTTACTATTAAATATTAATTTAAATAAGCTTTTATTATAGAGTAATATATTGATTACTTGTAAGGACCGGCCGGCGTAATGTCTTGAAGAGCAAGATAAACCTAATTGAATTGCCGTTTGGGCCCATCGATCGCTTACCAAGGCGTGTGGTAAAAACTCATGAAAGATTCTCAGAATGTGTTGAAGGAACACATCAAGTTGTTCGCCACTACGAATAGACCAAACTTTGGCAGTTATATCTTCATAATGCCACAATGGTTGATCACCCCTAAAAAATACGAAGCAAATATTGACTTCAAATTATAGTCAGAGTGTGTACACGAGTGAAATTAGTTACCTTGACACGATAAAATCTAAGAAAGACTTAACAATTTCCTTGATAGTTAAATTAGGTGTCGGTGAAGATAAGTGATCCATACCTAATACTACGGTGGAAGCGTCGTCCTCTATATACGAACATTTTAAATACATTTATTATTAATAATACATATAGAATAATGTATAATTTTAGTTTATAATAGTAGTTACCACAAGGAGAAGGTAGAACAACGAGACTAGTAGATTGTGAACAGCTTGTTCCTAAAGGTCCTTGTAAATAGCTGTCAAAAGTTTCATTGGCTTCTGAAAATAAATTTATTTTTTTTGCTTTTGAAAACAATAATTATTTAAATTTGGAATAACAAATTAATAATATTGAAATTTATTAATGTAATTAAAAAAAAAAATTACCGGTAAAATTATGTTTAGACACTTGTACGGATGGTGTGGGTAGGCCCAATCCTAGTCGTGTTGTATTGTGGTTTAAAAGTAATTGGGCAATCGCAAGTTGATCTGAATTATTGGCCAATACGAGTGTTAGATTCAATAGTAATTGCTTACAGTGTTGGTAAACTAGAAGACGACTATGATCCATCCCTAAGAGCGCAATGTGCAACATGAGTGGAATGTGAATTGACCAGTCCATATCAAGTGAATCAGATGGCAAGTCTTTTAGAAGCATTACGGCTATGTTGCACCTTAAAATAAAATTGTCGTTACATATTTTATACTAATAAATGTAAAATACGCGAAAATATAAGTGTCTAATAAAAAAAAGTGATGTAGTTAAAATGCTGCGAGTAGAAATTTTACACAAAGATTAACCAAATTAGGTATAGTTTATCTTGAGTTCTAAACAATAAACATCTTATTATTAATACAATATAAATATTTTTAACAAGTCTAGGATGTCAAATTCNGTTAATATTATTGTTAATGTCTTATATTAATACAATATAAATATTTTTAACAAGTCTAGGATGTCAAATTCTTTCGAATTTTATATTACAAGTTCAAAATTCACACTGGACCAAAACAGAGCTTAATATAGTAATCCCGAATAAACTAAATCTTTAAATAACCCATGACTACCTTTGTCAAAACTAAAACTAATATTAACTTAGTAACAATATTAAATGAATATCAGGGCGTGAGCTTGGTGTAGCTACAGATATATTTGTTTACAGTTATCTGAATTGACCAAAAAGCTAATAATCCTCCTATATAATCAGAACCAACCTATTTAAGTATTTTTGAAACTTATTGTGTTGAAATTTAGGCGTGGCTATATAGCAAAAAAGGCAAACGAGAGATAGTTTCTTGTATAAAATATTTTTTTTAAATAATTCTAGTATGTCAATGGAAAAATGCAAAAATTTTCATTTGGTTACCAAAAGTATAGTTAATTATAGAATTTTCTTTAACTATTCGTCCCTAAAATGAGCAAATTTCTTAAAAACAAATAGTAAACATTTTTTAGTAAAACGTCAAAAAAAGAAGAATTCTTCAAGATCTATGTATAAGTCTACAATTACAAAAAAAAAACCCAGCACAGTGGGGTCGCGGCACAGTTGGGACTTGGCATAGTTCGGTAAAGTATAATGATATCTGACAGTGATTAAAATCACAATCATAAAATACGCTTCCATGTAAATCATTAGATAGTGTTTATTTTTAAAACATTGGTGGATCATTCCAAAAGCAATATGATCTCCTATTTCCTTATTTATATTCAGATAACAAGTTTCATTTTTCAAAAAGTTATAGCATTATAAAATTAAATAATATAACAAAAGAATTTATTTACAAAAATATTATTTTTTTATTAACTTTGATGCTAGTTTCCGCCATGAAAACAAACTAAAGTCTGAACGTTTTCTTTTTTGTATTTAAATATATTACATTAACTTTAATTTAAGATATATATAAAAGTGTCAGTATTTCCGGAAAACTTTCAAAAATTAAGTTGAAAAAGTTCTACTTTCTATATGAATTTTTAAGTTTTGAACCCCCTGTATAAAGCAAAATGGACCGATTTAAATAAAAAGTATGTCTAATGAAAAAAGTACATAAGTAGTATTTCTCATAAGAAAATTGTATTGATCCATACTTTTTTAAAAAGTTATAGCGTTATAAAGTTAAAAATATAAAAAAGAATTTTTTTACAAAAATCGTATTTTTTTATTAATTTTGATGTCTGTTTTCACCAAGAAGACAAAATAAAGTCCGAAATTTTATTTTTTCATAATAAAGTATATTACATTAGCTTTAATTTAAGATATATAAATAAGTGTCAGAGTTTCCGGAACACTTTCAAAAGTTAGCAATTTTTAAATTTGTAATTTTTTTGGAGCTTTCTCCCGTTTACGGGCAACGAGGGAAATTTTTTCAATTTTTAAGGGTAATGTCTTCGACTAGATACGATTTGTGATCTTTTGACGTATCGTTGAAAGAAATCCGTTCGGTGAGAAGTGTAAAAGTGGTAACAGACACAAAAAAAACAATAAAAAAAAAAACACATCATAGTAAAACTATACCTTCGCATCGATGCTAAAAGACACATTAGTGTATATTAAAAGTACTCCGATGCAAATCTATTTTTTTAAAAAGAGTAAAAAAATATATCTACATAAACATAATTTGTTATGAAATTTAGGCTTTGAGATGCATACACTAATTCTTAAACTAGTGCCAACCACAAATATAAGTAATATTCTATTAGTTAATCGTAAAATCTAAATGAATTTGTATTGTTGTCAATATTTATGCTTACTGTTAAATACAAACATGTTTACCATTGAATATCGTTAAGAAAGGGTCTAGTGACTGAGTAACTTAAGTAACTAATTTTCATTAAATAGAAGCTTATGATTGGGTTTAAAGATCATGTTTGTAAAAAAAAAAAAAATTAACATTGAAATCCTATTTAAATTATAATAATGAAATATAAAACCAGTCATAAAATAAATTTCTTATAATCAATTAGAATTATGGAAAAAAATTAATGTTTTTACAACTATTCATTTAAATTCAGTATATTTTTTTAAATTTAATGAACATGAGTAAAACGAATTACACAAAATTTCTTTTATAGATCGTTGGCTATGTATTTGGTTGGCATGCTCCAATGACATTGTACGTCGTTTATTTACATGAAAATGGAAAACATCCCTTTGACATTTATTAACTAGCTTCTTGACATTTCTAAGAGTTACTACAGTTTTCTTAACCGAAAACCTTATACTAACAAAATCTACTTACACATGTACAAATTTTTTTATATTTAATCGTTATTTTAATTTTATCCTCTCATTATTAAGAACATTATTATCTCAATAATATAAATTTATTTTATATAGAGAATGATTGAAATTTGGCAAGACACTTATTTTCTCAGAAACTATTGAGAATTTCAAATTTTATTATAGAGAAAAAATATCAAGTTCAAAAAACTCTATAATAATATGTAGTCAAACCATTATTTTTTTCGTCCCTTCAAGGATAAAAACCCTTATTAATAATTTTCTTTAATGGGAACCCTTATTTTTAACTTTATAATATGATAGAAAAAGAAATTACCAGCAAATTTGTTTATACAATATTTTTTCCCCGATAAACCGTTCGTCTATTACAGCTTGTTAAAGTAAAGTGATTTTAGGCAAAATTTCTATTGTTATTTTACAATATTAAATACAGAAGTCATTATTTTTATTTGTTGTTGCATAAACCAAATTTTATTGATCAAGTTATGACAGGTAAATTAGGTATAAAAATTTACTACGCACTAAATGAGTGATAACAATAATCGATTCAAATCGGGTTATTGGTGTATTATTAATAGCAAAGTCTATGGGTTTATGAGATTTAACAAAAATACCGGTTGCATTGCCGCCGATATTATGAAACGTAATAAATATTTTTTCTCGAAGTCAAAATCTTTAAACAATTATAAAACATAAACGCTTGTTCGGATGAAAAAAATTATAAGAACAAAATTGTTTGTAATTTTTTTTTATCATATTATCAAATCAAAAATGGTGGTTCCTGTTTAAAAAAATTATAAATAAACATTTTTATCCTTAAAGGGATAAAAAAAAATTTATTTATCTTTGTATTATTGTAGAGTTTCATAAACTTAATAATTTTTCTTTTTAAAAAAATTTAAAATTCTCAATAATTTCTGAGAAAATGAGTGTCTTACCAGATTTTGATCATTCTGTATATATATATAATATATATATACAAATGCATATATATATATATATATTATATATATGCATTTGTATACCAGAAAAAATGATGAAAATACATTGGATTAATATATTTTTTAATCACGTAGTCAAAAAACATTGATATACTTTATTAGTTTTTTATTTTTAATACAATATGATAACGTTGTACGAATATAAATTTGAATACAAAAAAAATTTATGAGAAATATTTTAATAATAATTAAAAATATTATCTGATATTATTTAAATATTTTTTAGAGTATTTTAATTTATAAAATGATCATGTCACTTTAAAGAAACGTATAAATGTACATTGATAAATGTAAGGTAAAAATTAGTATGAAACATACCTGTGAAAGCCACTGCTTGACGGTATGTTTGTGGGTAAATATTCCTTAAGCGGGGCAAAATAACCACCATATTCTGGCATTGGTAAGGGGTGTGGTTGAGGGAAATCTCCATCTGTTGGCGAAAGACGATCATAATTCATCTATTAAACAATAACACCGATGTCATCTACGTACATTCATAATTATTGAAATAAAGAATGTAAGTAAATTTACAAATTTAAATTTCATGTAGAAAAAGTCATCAACCTTTTAAAAGCAAGTCATAGCTGTAGTTTTACATGAATAATAAAATATTTTAAGCAAAAGATAAAGTTAAACAGCCTATTTTCTAATCATTATTTGCATTTTTATCACGTATAACAAAAAGTAATCAGAAAAAAGTGTACAACTGTTACAGCTCGACACAACTAGAGATGCAAGGTATTTTTTAACTTATTTGTACAACGTGACTAAAAACAAAATAGAAACCAAATACTTGTTATGAAATAGATTACTCTATTTTTATGTAATACCTACCTCATTATTTTCGACAGTATCTTGTTCCTCATTTTGAATATTTGTTTGTGAGATGTCTCCTAAGGGAAGATGCTGCCATTGTAAGTTATTACGGTTCGGTGGATATCTGCTTGTAGATTTGTTCGTTGTCGAATCTGTTTTGCACGATCTGGAAATAATATCAATTAACAGTAACTAAAAAAAACATATTTTTATATTTATATTAAATTAAAAACAAAATAATTGAAAGATACAAAATTTATAAGCAATAGAAGTTTAACATAACACATAGAAAACTGTTTGCTTGAGTAGTGCCAATTCTTGTAAAATTAAAAAGTGCAATAAAATGAATGCTGCATGGAATTAATTAATTTAAAAGAGGTTTAAGGCAACAAATTTAATAATTAAGCTGATAACAATATATCTTCAATACTCAAATATTTAAAACAATTCTAAATAGTAAAAAATGTACACAGATGTTGTATATAAGTATTATATTAATCAATAAATGAAATCTCTCTTGCTAGAAAAATATGTTTTCTAAAATTCTACATAAATAATAACTTCAATGTTCATAAAACGTCGTTAACTTTTAACAAAAATATTAATTATTTAATGTATTAAATATACTTTTTGAATTATTTCTGTTAGAAATAACATTTCTTTTTAATTTTGATCGTATAAATATAAATATGTTTCTATGTTTAGGTTTTAGATTTTTTAAAGTTGCAGTATAATAAAATAACCAAGTAAATAAGTTTTTAATTAGAAATTAGGTAAATCAAATATCAAATATTTTGAGTTTTATAAAAATAAATATACTAATGAAGATTCGTCTATAGAGACAATTTTAATAATCAATACATCTCTGTATTTCCTTGAAACAAATATCCATTCAAAAAATCTATTTTTCTTGAAAAAATAATAAATTATAAACAACTTTCATGAGACTATTTTGTTTACTCGACACAATTACCCGGTGCTCACGGATTTTAGATGAAACGAATGAGGTGATTTATTATTTATAATACACTTAGAACATGAACCAGGAATTAGGAAAGTATACTGAAAAATAAACGTTAATTTTATGAAGGAGAGCAATATTTACAATGTAAATTGATCACCCTGACACAATGGAATGACTATTTGCTTTTACATAAATAAGACAGATGACGTTTGTAATTTGCATGGGAACAACAAAGCGGAATACAAAATATGGTGTGCATCGTCGAGAATTCGTGGCATTAGGGTGAAAACAGATTTGTGCAATTCATCCGATTAGGTCTCAGTAGACATTGTACGTATAGTACTATAGGTTTGACATTTTCATTAAGCAGAAGCTCCGCTTTTATGAATACGTTCAAATCCCAGCAAATTTACTTAAAAATACTAAATAATAGAATGTATATACTTTTAACAAAACCTCGTAGCTCTAAGACTATAATCAATACAAACACTATCGATAATGTAATAATTTAAGTCTGAAAGCAGTATCCTTTTAATAGTGGCTTAAATTTGTTGAAATTTTATTTGAAATGCTTCAATAAGGATTATCAATGTAAAAAGATTTTATATTCCAACTGAATGTAAAATTACAATGTTTTAAATGAAAAAGTAATTCAAGAGAAATTTCTCATTCAATAAATCTTATAGATTTTCAAAAGATATGTTAATAATTAAAGTTGTATAATATATTACATAGCTCGTCAAAATTTGGGTCAAAGAAAATTTATTAATTTTTTTTTTTTAATGTTTCCGATAGGTTTTTTGACACTAATTTCAAATATCCCTTTAGTTTTGTTTTATCATTAATATTTTAGCCAGAATTTGAGTATTTTAATACAACGGCTGTTTTCGTAAATTAGTGTCAAAAAAATTAAAAAAAATTTTCATAAACATTCTATGAACCAAATTTTGACGAGCAATCAATATGTAATATATTATAGATATTTAATTGTTAATTTATCTTTTGAATATCTATAAGATTTATTGAATGCGTATTATAAACTTGAGTGTAGAATATGTAATATGATAAGATTTTTAACTCACGTAATATTTTTATGAAATACGTGAGTTTTAACGACCTACACATTATTTGTTGATATCTATTGGAATTTAATAATAGAACCATTTTTGTTTATGATATTTTCATTCAGTACGTATTTATATTTAAACAATTGACGGACGTGTGAAATTTGAACTAAGTTATTCATAACTACGACGAAGGAAAGTAAATTACCTTAATTATCTAAATATCGTGTATAATTCGATATACTTTTTTCATATAACAAAAGTCTGTAAATTATTTATTTTAATATAAATGTTTTCAAATTTTGCTTTTTTCCATAACAAAAATAATTTCTAATATAAATATTATGAATAAAAATTCTTAACATTTTTTAACAATCTAAATAAATTGTATCAATAAAACTGACAAATAAAACAACAAATTTACAAATTCACACAGAAATAAATAGTATTGTGAGCAACGGAGTCAAATTTTTTAAATTCTTAACATTGTCGTAAAATCATTATGAGAAACTAGAGAGGTATCATATTCAAAATGATTCAAGCAATGCCTTAAGCTCTTTTCTTAATTGAGGAAAATTTCTAAAACGATTGCGGAAAACAAGAGTTTTAATTACTGAAAATATTGTTCTAGATAACAAATGTGGTAAACTTTTAAACATAATTTTGTTTTTAATTGACGGCATCTTATTTATGGTTTTCATTAAAGTTTATGTTGTTACGACTAGACTGTGGGAAAATAAACATACGAGTCAGACAATATGACTAACTTTATTTATAATGAACAATTGTTAAAGTATACGGTAGCAAGCATCTAAATATAACTCTTAAATGTTAATTCGATTGTTACAAAATTGTGCAATACTGAGTGTAAAATGGTCATCAGTGTGATAGAAAAAACGATAACATAGCAGAAACTAAGGGATTAGAGGCGTTATTTTAGGTAATTGGAATTGGAAAAAGAACTGAATTGTACGAAAACTATCAATATACAAAATTTTGTGACACATAGAAGTTAAAAACAATCTTTTTTTAATTATTGACGGTAAATTGTAAAGTGCTGTGAGTTTTTAACAAGTTGAACATATACGATCATATAATAAATCTTTTAGTTTTTGGAGTTGAAATAAAAAAAACTGGATATACTAGTAATCATCATGAATAATTAATGATAATATTTTACCATCTAATCTAGTTAAATATAGACGATGCTATTTAAACAAATAAAGTTAACACACTTTTAAGTTATAAGGGATGACTCTAAAAAATAATTATTGGCTAATAAATCAAGAATTATATGAAACTAAAAGAAATTAAAAAGAAATTGTAAAAATTACTGTCGAATATTATAACTATTCATACATTAAATTTCCCAAAAATAATAAAAAAAAGATTAATACATATAAAATAAAATATTTTCAGAAATCGAGTAATATTATACAGAATGCGAACGTTTTTAACTCTAAATTCGATTTAAGATATCAACTAACACCAACGTTTTTGTAATAACAAAGGTTTTTGATTTGACTTTATTAACTGCAAAAGTAAAGATTGCACTATATACAATAATAATAAAACTAACTGCAATGTATAGCATTAAATAGATTTAAGTTTAGTGGTACCACTTTAAATAGTGGAACACTATTCCTTCGATACAAGTATTACCAGTTGTACGTTAAAAACTGAAACACATAATAGACTATATCGAATTGAGATTCAATTATGTAAAAATGAAAAAAGGCATATTCGAGCTTGATTAACTTCACAATTAAACACGATTTATTTTGTAATCGAATACAAAATATTGAATTGTTGACAAAATGTACCAACTGTACTTGAGATCAAAGGTTTTTTTTTTGTACTTATCGACGCGTGTGATTTAAGTTTCAATGAAACGGGCTTGAAATTATGTTCTCAAATGAAAATATAATTTACTTTAATAAATAACGTAACTTAATTCATAGGGGTTTGTAAAACAAAATTGTAATTTACAAGATTCATAATAATACTTACAACTTTTTAATTAAACATTGACACACGTCCGTAGTCAATAAAGATAATTAAGCTCTAACAGCTCTAATAGAAGTCTGTCATTATTAAAAAGCTCACGTTGATCAACAGCAACAAAGGCAATAACATCAATTTTCCAATTTTATAATCACGTAGGTATTTTTTTTACACTGTAATGCGATACATGCTCGTAAGTATATATAAACACAAGACACTCAATACGTTTTATCTGAAACGGTTTCAAGCAACATTTACTGGGAAAAGTGGAAAAAAGTCCGAGTCACGATTTGCACGTTGTAGTCGTCTTATTGCATTTACAAACAACGAATTCGGGAATCTGTTTCGACTATATGCACATAAGCTTATAGAAAAATGGCAAATAATAGAAAGTGTTGAGAAATTTTTCGTTAATACATCAAATTATTGGTAATAGAACACTCGTTAAAAAATTTTAATACGTTTTCTGTATTTATTTTTAGATTATTGTATAATATCTGCAAAAAATAGGCAGATGGAAACTTTTTACTTTTTGAATAAAACGATATTGTATTACTAGTGTTTTGAATTCATTAAAAGGTACAATCCAGAAGTATTTTTGAGTTCCTCAAATATTTTTATTGGTAAATTACGCAATAGTTACTTATATATTTTAAATAAACTTCATTCAAACAAGAATTTTCATAAACTCGGCGTTGTATGACAGATAAAACACATAGAGCCCAATATATTTCATTAAACTAATTATTCCTTTTTATAGAACAATATTAGACTCAGTCAAATTAATAGCTTAACAAGAATTAAAATACGTTTTTTGCATTAATGCATTATTAATAAATTGTAGCATTGTTCATTATAAAGGAAATTTTTATGATTTCAGTTATTTTTTATTTTTTTATTTGACAGCTATTTGTTTACAATATCCTAATATCGTCTGTACTTTGGGAACTAGTTTATGTAATTTGGATTATTTTTTAGACAAAAGATGTTATCATTTCACTGAGGAACATTTGTTTATAGACAATGTTACTGTCCTCGTCTCATTAGAGGTTCTATGAGATTTCACATAACCATTATCAGCACCAAATTTACCAAATCATCCGGTCAGGGTATTAATTAGGCATGAAGTTTTGTTGTAGTCTTCTTTTAATTTACAGACTTTGGTATTTATTATAATATTTTAAGCTCAATAATACCGGGAGGATATAGCCGCCTATCACCTCGGTCTTATTCGTAATACTCGGAAAAGGTTATAAAGTAAATTATTTAATACAATTTTGTCCAAAATAGTAATTATATGCCAAAAATTCGGTCTCGCAAAATCGTCAACTAAAATTCAACAAGTAATTGTTTTCTTGTTTTTATTTAAATTACTCTCAGAATCTTTTGATAAAATATGGATAGCATTATGACAATACATGATAACTTTGTTTTAATGTTGTTTGAAAACAATTTTCATTAAAAGGTAAAATTTCTAGCAAAATAAACACTTTTGTTTCAACTATTTAGTATATCAAAAGAGTTGATTAGCACATTTTAATATAAATTCATACATTTTATTCATTTTTGTCGTAGTGAATTAGATTCTAACAAAACTTTTTATTTTCTTAATAGCTCTGTTTGATCGTCCGTTAGTAAATATTCCACAAACTTTATTGTATTTGAGTTTTATTATACTCTAAAGTTTCCCATGTAGGTGAATAAATTTTTCTTTTTGGATGTTTTTTTTAGTGCTATAATAGAACTGAAAATCTTCTTTTATAGTCATTGACTTGATAATTTACTAAAATAACTTACCTTTGAACTGAGTTCTTTTTTTTTTAAATTGAAAAAATATTTATAAAAGCTAAAAATTGTTATTTTTAAAAAAGGAATAAAAATAAGTATTTACAAAAAAACATTGAAAATTACTTTACTACAATCAATTCATTTTGCCTAATTTTTATAAATTTCAATAATTTAAATAGCTATTTTTAATTAACTCACCCAACATTTTTTGATGGATCGTCTCCACTGTGTCGTTTGGTATGTATCATTCCAGCAGATGCATGTGCTGTTGAGTGCTCAGTTTCATTTTCATTTACAATAGTAGTGGAAGACGTATCCGTAGAGCATACTTCATTGCCACTCGTTATAGGATTGTTCGTGCAAGATGGCCCAACACCCATACCAGAAGTTTTCCTCATGCTGGTTAATCTGTAGAATGGCGGCGTTTCAGTTCTTTCAATTAGACAATTTAATGTTTCCACCGTCTGCAGCTCAGTCATCATTTCGTCGAGCAATCTATCAGGTCTTGATCTGGCTAAATAAAGTGTAACGCGTTTTGCCTGTGCAATAATTGAACATATATTAATTATAATTTATAAATGAATGCACATATGATGAATTGTTATGAATTTTTACAGTAACTCAAGTGATATAATAGGTATTGAATTTTTATCAAGTATTTAATTTTAAACTTTAAACCACAAAAGCGTATTTAATTCAGGACACATGCCTCTAAATCCCTAAAACTATTTAGAAAGACATAATTTACCATATTTTAGATATAAAGACGGGGTGTAGTTGGGATACACTGATAACGTTAGTTGAACCAAACTTAATTGTGATATACACAATTTTATCCAAGTGAATCTCAGTATGTTGGATTTATATAATGTATTAAAAGTTTATTAGTTAAATACTTGTGACATTTTAATTACTTTTAACCTCATTGTCTAACGTATTGTAAATGATAAATCAAAATAATTATCACAATAAAATGAAAAAATACAATTTCAAACATACAGAAAAATTACGTTTTTTAAAAGTGTATTACTAGTGAATTTTCTATAAAACAAAAATAAAAATCTAAAATTCGTGGAAATAATATTGAAATAATAATAATAGTATTTTTGAAAATTAAATTTTGGTATTTACATGTTATTAATTTTCTCTTTAAATAACATTTTTGAATTATGTTTCATTCATATAAACACATACAGTATTTGTATTTGAATTTCAAACATTTATTATAGTACGATTTTTAAAATTAAAACGAGTATAAATTTGGATTCTAATATAAATCTTTATGTTATATAATGTTGAGTAGCATTTTTGAAGTGTGCAAATATAATAAATTGAACATATTTGATAATGACAAATAAAGAGCACTTTTATTATAAATCATTACAAAGGGCCCGAGAATGAAATAAACTATTAAAAACAACATATATACTACATTAGTCACAACCGCGAATTTTGGTTACATTAACAGGAAGGCTTGGTGAACACAATAACATATGATATACAGAGTAGTATATATTATTGCATGCCAACAGTAAGCTCACTGGCTCTACGTGTCCACGCCTGAATGGTCATCACGTTTTGGTTATACTCTATTATAATTATTGTAAACTACTAATGACATTTAAAATTAAATTAAAAACTAAAAAATATTTAACTCAAAAGCCACAAAAATGACTAAAAATCGAGGATACGATAATTTCGATATCATATAATATAATTCGTATATTATATATACGAAAATTCGGAAAAAATGTGACCATTACCAATACTAAACACATACTGATACCCCAACTGAAAAATACTCTCTTATATACCCTTAGTGACCTTATCACCTAATGACGCTATCACTAAGTGATGTTATCATCTAATTAATTGTCACATTTTAATTTTAAATGATCATTACCACAAGTGATCAATTCTTATTATACTAATGAAATTTGAGGGAAATATAACCTATTTAAAATTATTACCATGCTCTTACTTTTAATTATCTCTAAAATATATAAAATTGTCGTTTCAAACCACAATACGGTAAGTTTATTACACGAATGAAAAATTACTAAGATGCCTAATTGTTCTTAAGGAAAATCACACAATCGATTTGAAACAAGGTTAAATATTGTTTTACATAAAGTTTGAAAGTGCCAAAATATGACCTCGCGCATATGATTGAAGAGTAATCAAAACCAAAAATATACGAAGTACCTATTCATAATTTTTATTTTCTTTAACAGTTAATTAAATAATCTCTGGAAATTTCGTTGTTAACCGTGATTTTCATCAATACTACATAAACTAATTTTTTTTTTAATAGTTATTTATCTCAAATAAAAGAAAAAATATAGTTGATTATTTAACCGTTAACAAAAAAAGACAAAAATTTTAAAATCGGTAGAACAGATTTGTCAATTTTATTTAACAGGAAGGATAATTACATTTGTAAAAATTATGTTTTTTATACTTGTATATGATCTATTATATCTATAATTTGTAATAATGCTTACATAAGGCAAGAGCTCATTAGGAGCCATTCCACTTATTATGACCAAATAACGAATTATTACTTTTAGATTGTTTGGCCAGCATAAACATAATGTGGCCCAGACATCTTCGATACCCTTGGGATGTTCGTCAGAAAACTGTAATAAAGAAAAATTAATTTTTAGTTTTAAATAATTAAGTTCTTAAAAAACCAGCATAGGTTTTTGAAATAATCAGGGAATAAGTTTTTTTATACATTTTTTTTTCATCATAATGTATGAATTGTACAGAATATATTAGAGATATCATAAATAATTAAACTAATATAGGCATTAAATAAATATAATACAAAACAAAGAGAAAATTAATTAAAGAGATGTGTAGAAATATTTTATTTTAATTTTAGTATTAACTATTTGTTATTAAATAAAATAAATATTTAATTTGTATAGTATATTTATATAGTTGTTTAAGGAGACATTATTCAACTAAATTTTTTGTTAAATAGTTCTACTTTCATTATAACTTAATTTTTAAAAGTATATTAGTTGAATATATTATTTTAAAGAAGTATTGATTTGCTATTATTTTTTAATTGTTTACCATAAAACAACAACTGTTCGAACTGTTGAAATGTTTCAATTTTAAAACAGGCAGATTAGCTTTTTATAACTCAGTTATTATTTTTTATATGATAATTAATATCATAATGCGTTTAACTAATTTATGTCCTATAATAAAGGCATCTATTAACAATTTATATTTTTGATAAAATTACAATTTTAATAGTATATGAAATATATTAATCACAAAGAGTAACCGTGAGAATTTGCGACAATGTGTTTAATCTAGCGCCAATAATCATAACTTATAAGAAAATTTTAAATGACTTTTTTAAAACTTACTTATTATGTTTAACTAGATTATCTTAACGTTTTTGTTAAATATAATAAAATTAACTTAATAATCTCTACGAAAAAAAAATCTAACACATTTCTTTAAGTTGTTTAAACTTAGTAAACGATTCACGAACCTTAGCTGTTATGTAGAATAAATTATTCAACACCATTTCAGTAGCTTCGACGGATCCCCAACCTTCGCGATGACAAGAACTTGCTTGACCTTCTTCAGCAGGATAATACTATTAATAGAAAATGTTAAAAGAAACATAGAATTAAAAATATATATAATTTATTTATTGAAATAAATGTATGGTAAGATTGAACTTATTAAGTTAGTTTGAAAACGAATATCAAAAAATCAGTAAAACAACTTACTTGAAAGTATGATAGGGGATTTGGAGGAGGAACATTGGGGTCAACTAACTCCATATTATGTAGCCATGGTACTAAATAATGTAAGAGTAATTGACGTACTTCTGGTCTTGCAGTTTGAAATCTGTAGGTTATTTCTAAGATAAAAATAATTTAGTAAATAACTACTTATCACTAAATAAATAATTAAAGGGATAATTGAAAATTAATTTTGATTGCGTGATTTTGGGAATAAAATAAAATATCAATTACAACTTTTTTAACAATTTTATAAATATATATAAAAAAAAAGGTATTGAAAATTTAGTTTTACTCTTACTATCCATATAGTCATGTTAGCCTAATATAATTACTAAAACTTTCTAAACAAAGGGTTAAAAAGGTTTTGTTAATTATCCATTGACTATCCTTGATTCTTTCTAGTATTACTTGATTCTTTAATTAAAAATTCTAAAATAAAATTTATTAATTACCAATATAATCGAAATTCATAATACAAATATTCATCACCCAATAACTGAAACTTGATAAAAAATAATATTGCAAAATAAATAATTGTATTTGAATATTTTTAGAATTCGATAAAAAAGCGACTGTCTTAACCCTAGAATCGTTTAAACTTTTAAGTGACCTTCACCCATAGTTGAATTGGGTCGTAAAAGTCATCAATGATCATAAATCATTGTCGCATAGCATGTGTTCGACCTGAATAAGATCGTGCTACTGTAAAAAAACCTAACAAATAGGAAAAGATGATCATTACTATAACAGAACCCGTTTGAATATTTAAAGACGTTAACTATTGGAATTAAATTGAATTTTTTTTATATAACAATAAAATATTCAATGTAATTGTAATATTTTATTGTGTAGATTTGAGCTAGTGTTTATTTAACAGTGAATATTATACTACATATTAAAAATAAGTAAATTTGAATTCAGTGAGCTATAACATTTATATGTAAAGTTAACTCTAGATCATAATAATTTTAATCTATACTAAAAATTAAAAATTAAAATTATACAGTTTTACTGATTTTCTATAAAGTATTAGATTTTTACAAGAAAATAAAAAGACAATTTAAATTTAAAATATACTTCGTAGAAATTCCCTTAAGTATATTTAAAAATTCTTCAAAACATCATGAAATAAAACATTTTTTCCTATAAAATTACATCTATAAGTGTGCATGGTTCGCTTAAATATTAAAAACTTTAATATTAATAGAATTTTTCTATACATTAAGTCTATAGTAGTAGTCATTTGTTCTACTATTTATTATTATGAGTCATTTAAGTTAAGTTTTAAACCTCAATAAAAAAGGAACATGCGGTCAAAGTAAATGTTCCGAGTATGGAAAACAAAAACAAAAAAGTTATTTTCTGCCTATTAACATGAAATCATTGCTATGAAATCTGGCAAGAATGTGAAATTACAAACAAATTGGTAAACTATAAAATTCAAAACATCTTATGTTGTAAGCAATAAATTATATATAATGAATAAGCTTGAATAATAGTGAGCTTGTTATTATTATAGGATTTTTATTTATGTACATTACTTCTTACACTAAAATTAAAAATATAGCCACAGTAAAAAAAAAATCTTAAGAATAATTTAAGTATTTCGCCAAAATCACAAATAAAATTTTAGTGTAAAATTGACATGTGATTGCATTTTACAATATACTACATGATTTATTAATAGCGAAAAATTGAAACAATAATTTCGTGGTCAACATAATGTATTAGTCATCAGTTGTAACCATAAACATCACTTGATGTATATCTGGCAAACATAAATATAATTTATATTATGTATTAAAATTTCGTATATTTGAGTAATGTGTACAAAGTTTTAAATTATTCATTTTTCTTAAAAATTATTTTTGGAAAAAAACTTAAAAGAATAATCTTAATTGATTATTAAAACTTATTCACATTATAAATCTACAACAATTAAAGTTCTCAATTTCATCTTAAAATATCTAAGATATTTATAGCATTTAATACAAAAATACAAAATCACTTAATTATTGGTTAAAATGATTAACTCTTATGTAACAATTAGGTGGCGTGGGAGTTTGAATAGTCTTTAAATTAGTTTATTGATTATTTAACCATCAGTTATTTAAAAATAAATGTGATTACGAAAAAAGTGGCCAAGTATTTAGACTAAATTATCTTCTAATTTTACTAAATTTGATTAATGCTTGAAATATTTCGAATTTTCAAAAATTAATTAAAATAAAAAAAATCTCTGATTTGATTTCACCATGTGGACAAAATATAAAAATCTCAAAACGTATATATTTGACAAGAAAACAATAACGGCTGTGATAAAGGTATAGTAGTGTGTACGTCGTAAGTCATAAATTCAATAACTTGAAGAAACATAGATGAAAAAGTATACAACAATAACGTAGCTAATAACAAAAATTAAATAATATTAACACAAATATTTTGTCTGAAAAAAGAAATAAAAAAATTTTTTGTCATCAAAAATAATAATTATTTAGTAATTATTACTTTAACGCATTTTGAGAGAGTCATTTATCATATAACATCAATTAAAATTGTCCACAAGACAAATTTGAAAAGAAAAATTTTATGAAAACTAATCAAAATTTATATTTACTACAAAAGACTTAAAATATTTTTTTATTTTCAAGGCATAGAATCTGAGAGAAACATAACTCAAATTGAAATTTCCTTAATTTGCTTAATATAGAACATTCTATTTTTATGTATAAGTAATTGACCTTTAATAATAATAATAAAATTTTGAAATTTCAGCAACCAAATTTTTTTTTCATTAGCAAAATTGAAAAATTGAATTTTCATTTCACTTTTACTTTACCTGAAAATATTGGCATTGTCAGTTCCGGATGAATTTGGGCAAGCTGTTGAGACAGATTAAATTGAGATTGACAAAATGTTGAACATAAAAGAACATCCGCGATTTCTGTTGTCTTATCTGTATCAGATGATGGTGTATCAACAGTTCTTTTTTCTTCTTTTTCGTCTCCTAAAAAAAATATTGATAAACAATTATTTATAAATGTTTTCATGGTATGAATTAATTTTCCATCATTTAAGTGTTACACTTAAAACGTTTAACAGTATAGCAAAATATTATAGTATTTGTACAACACAGTTGTGAAATATAAATACATACATATATATATATATATAAACTATGTAATTCATTGAGTAGAATATAATTTAATGGATTTGTAAATTATCTATACATTTTTTCTAATGTTTTCACATATTCGAGTAACTGTTCTTAATATTCACAATGAAAAATAGGTCTTTGTTTAGATAACAAGAACACGAGAGAGTAAATTAATTTCCTGTTTTAAATTAATTAATAATAATTAATTCTTTTTACAAAATTAAATTCAAAACATTTTTAGTTTGTTTTAGAATAAAATCATCAAATGTTTCTACTTAATATTAATTATAATAAATAGTTTATCTAAAAAATGAATAATATTTAAATATAATCTTTTTAAGAAATTTTGTTTATGTATTATGCCTTTTTACATGAAATAAACTTATATTAATTATTTGTTATGGAAATAAATAAATTACAATCAATAGGTATAAAATTAATAGATTAGTTAATGAAATAAAGAACATATAGTCGTAATTTTTAAGAAAATTACTGTCTTACTGAGTTTGAAGTTATTATGTTGTTAATGCATAACTGGTAAGTCTATCGCACTTAACGTTTTAGGTAAATGATACATTTAAAATGCCATTATGTATAGCTGTATTTTATTTTCTATAAACCATATAGTCGTGACCATGACTTTCTCATATTTTACCTTGTCTATAAAGGATTAAACTAATAGCTTTCCTGAAGTTATACAAAAAAGTTTTAATGTTTTATTTTTAGTTATTAGAAATAAATAATGGAGAAGAGATGACTGCTAATAAAGACAAATGGAAAGCTGTGATGTTTGCGACAAAAGACCTAAATAGATTATATTAAACCGAAAAAAATACTTTGTTAACATAAAATAATATTTCATTTTTTAATTAAAGAAAATTAAAATATATAAATCTACTTATTTTTGTTAACCTTATGAGGCCTCCTTAAAATTGCCCGTCTAACATACCTTAATGTCTTAAGAGAAAATGTTAACAGATAAATACATTTACAATAACATATGAATACATATGGTGATATTTTAAAAGACTCATTAATATAAGCGAATGACATTGCATAAATTACAGCTTCAAAATAACGACCAATAACGACTTTATCCAATCTTATAACTAAAGCGAATAAAATAAAAATTCGTTTATGATAGTAGAATAAATAACAAAGAATCAAACTTAATTAAATTTAAATATTAATTCTACGGACAAAATTAGATGAATAAATTCTATTTGATATTTTAGAATCAATATATTCACATTTAATAACCCAAAGGGCTAAATCATACAGTAGCATGCTTGTTTTAAAATAAAAAACAAACACACATTTTCCTTTTGTAACTAAAAGTCTAAATTCTATGAAAAAATGAAAAAAAAATACGTTAATAAATAGTATTATGCAATTCAACTTTAAGTCACTAGTGTATTATGATTAAGGGAATAATAAAATAATATACGGCATTTTTAATAATTTTTTTAACAACGAACTTAAGGTTTAAAAAGATACTAGATATTCACTTATAAGTATTAACACTTCTGAAAGAGTTCTAAAGAGAGTCTCCCGCCGCGTATATTGTCTTTCATGAAAATGTATACTGTTTGATTATAACTACGTGTACCGAGTGCAAACATTATAAAAAAAAATAATAATAATCAAAAAAATTATGTGCATTAAAAATAGCAAGTTAACTACGTTATTAAACTCAATAATTTAAAAAAGTATCCTTGTAAAATACGTAAAAAGTGAAAATAATTTATTTTAACACTTATATCGTATTATAAGAACATTAGTGTAGAAACTCGAAATTATAAATTTTAAGTAACATATTTTTTATTAAAAAAGTTATGTTTTTGATATGTACTACTGTTTTAATGTAAATACAATATTTAAACTATTAACAACTATATATAATAAAATACATTGAAGTAAAATAATAAAAATAAATTTAACAGTTATTATTAAGAATTATTAAAGAAATTACTTATAGATAAATATATTTAAAATGAATATTGAAGCATAGATATAGATTAATTGCAGGGAGAGGTTTTTAAATCCACCCTATTACTGTAAATATAATATGATTACACAAAAAAAATTGTGTAATGAAGAGTTTGAACCCCTCAACCCACCATCACACGCGATAAGCATTAAATATTGTGAACAACGGTTTGTTTTTTCACAAATAATATTGCATTTAGATCATAAATAATAATAAAAAATTATTATTGTGCTTGGACATACAAAAATAAATAATAAATCTAGAAAATCAATTATAAAATAACTTATTTCTTTTATTACTTCGCTAGCTTTTAATAATACGCCATAATGATAAATTATACATTATTTAAAAGTTTACTGAACATTGTAATCACTACATTTCTTTTTTTAGTTAATTATAAAATACTCTTTAATATGAATTACGTAAGTTTATTGTACAGAAATAAGTATAGTCTATCTCAGTAATCGACAAATGCATAAAAACAAAGGGATAATGTTAAAAAGGTTACACCACGTGCTCATAGAAAACTATGTGACGCGAATAATAATATTGACGACAGCTGTTCATTCATTTTTAAAAAGGCACTTTTATTACTGACACCTTTAATGTAACAAAAAAAGTAATGTAATACTTTTGATAAACCCTGACCACAAAAATTTTATTTATTAAGATGTAAAAATAATTGAGAAAAACATTTTATTGTTAAATATTATTACATTAAAAATTATTTAAAGAATAGAAGGAAGTCAAGACAGAAAAATTAATTTTATCTTTTATTTTAAATTTTGTTTAATTATTAAACTTAAAGTTTAGAATAGTATGATAAATTACTTTCATTTATTTATTAATTTATCCTTTACCTTGATTGCTTTCCATTTTTGTTATTTCAATTATTGGAATAACAAGTTATGACGGCTAAAAAAATTATTTTTAATTACTTTTTGCAATTAACACTATAACTTTAAAATAAAATCATTTATTACGTACAAACTTTTACTAAAATTTCTAATAAATTACTTATTTTGATAAGTCACACAATTCTATTGTTTAATCATTAATAAAAAAATTCAATTTTTGACTTGTATAATTTCTTCTTCAGTTTAGCCAAACATTTAAAGTGATTTATCAAATGTTGAGAAACTCATTTGTATGGGATTCAATAGTTCTACTTTTTTAAATGAGATTATTTTTTTCTTCAAAAAATTATTTTGATTGACTGAGAAGCAAATAAACGTTAACACATTTTCTTTTCAAGAAAGTAGAAGTATTTTTATTAATTTGTAAAATGACGTTCAAGTCCATTTATCAGAAAATCTTCAGTAAATATCATAACTAGATTGAGCTCACCCTGCTATTTTTATATATTTTTTTGTGATTATTTAAGTTAAGGAAATTTGAAGAAGCAAACATGGATATTAATCAGTAAGCCGCTGGCTAAGTTCAAAAACCATCATATTTATATTTTCAAAACGTCATCCGAAAACTATTCAAAGCATTCCTCGCTTTTGGAAAAATATTTACTTAACTTTTAAGCTATATTCGTGGAATACTGTGTTTTAATTAATAAAATTAATTACTAAGTTAGGAGTGTGATAATTTCGATGTAATATCATGTATATCATGAATATAGAATTTTTAGATCACAAAAGGAAAAAGTCACTTTTTGACAAAAATAAATTATTGGTTGAATGTAAAATAATAATTTTTTGTTTGCTTCGCGAGTTACATATGTACTTTATTGATAGTTATAATATATTTTTTATAATTATCCATTATACATTATATTAACTTAAATAAAATGAAATGCATATTAACTTTATTTTTCATGTTGTAACATATATAATTAATTAGAAAATGATCTAAAAGGCCTTTTTATATGTAATTCGTAAGTGAAGTTAAGAAAGCATAAAATGTTCTAAGACAAAAATAAATATTACTGACTTTTTTTTTTATTGGGCAAACCACCACACCTACATCAGAATATTTTATGTTTTTATGTATACTACAAACTCTTCACTAATAAAAAATAAATACTTCCTTTGTTTCTTAAAGCTTTGACGATATCTTTACAAGAACATGTGAAATATTTAAAATATTGATAGATTTCATAAGTTATTTATTTCAGTCTTTTTTTTGAAAATTCTTTTCAAGACAGATCTTGTTTAGCTGGTAAAACTCTTTGTCACAATTGATTACTATTTTCAAATGAATTTATTAACATAAAAATGTTTGATCACTAATGGCTGTTAACGCTTAATATAATTGATACCTAAATAAAATGAGAGACAATGAAGATAAATAAAATAATTATAATATTTAACGGATATTCTGAATAATAATTCCAAAGATATATCGTTATTACGACTATATTAGACATTCTATTATTGATTTTAAACCAAAATTAATGGATAGAGATTAAAATAGATTATTATGTTTCATATATATATATATATATATATATATATTCACAAATACAAGTATGGCCAACTTGCAAATTTTTTTTTGAATAGGTTAAAATGTTTGTTTAGTTTATACAGTTGACGCATTTAACCTTAACTCAAATGTTAAAGCTCACCATGGAATTTTCCAAAATCATGAAATGAAACACATTTTCTTCAATCTCATAAATTATTTATCTTCGAGTGATTATAATAAGCACAGTTTTCACTTAGACAGGAAATGGGTAGATTTAAAAGGGCTTTCTTATCTCAACCAATCTAAAATATATCATACTACAGTCTATGTAATGATGTTATTTTATTATGTACCTAAAATAGTAACCTCATATAATATATGAAATTGCTAAAATTATTAGAATATGAATACAAGAAAACTTCCAATTTTATTCGAAAAAAAAAAC